TCTGCTGTTCCGGAGGCTGCATGCTGCTGCTGCCCCCTGCCGTTAGACCTCAGTACTGCACGTCAACTCACCGGCGTCACCAGCTTTGTTGCGCAGTTTAGACAGAGACAAACTGTACCAGCGCACACCGATCAATAAATGACTTAGCTGCTTCTTTATGAATGTCTTTTTGATTAGATTTACAATATTAAGAATATTTCTTAAAGATGTTGACTGGTTCAACTTTTCATTTAGAAAAAGGAAACATATTTTTATGATAAGAATGATATTGATTGTAAAAAAACTATTTATATTGACTCTTTATTTGACATGGAAAAAAACTAAATACTAAATACTAAATAAATACTACATCCATCCACCAACACTAATGGACTAAAAAGAAATCACATATACAACAATTCAAAATAATAACTGGGCACTATATTGATTCATTACTTGGACTAAAGAACAGTAAAGTGATAAAAACAGTAGAAACATGTAAAGCCTTGAATATTTGTATATACTTTGTTTTCTTTCATGGTACCCCTATGTATATAGTTTGCTTTTGTCCTTTTGAAATTTTTTTTTTTACTATTTTTGTTTCATCATACTTATTTATATGTTGCATTTATTTCCTTTGATCTTATTTATTTTATTTGTATGTATTGTCCATATTTTACTATGCATCATATTTCAGAAGTTATGATTGTTTCCTCATTTTCAACGTTTAATAGTTTTAATAAGATGAAATGGAAAATGTTTTGAATAATAATAAATCATTTGAAGAAAAAAAATATCCAGCGGAACAACATGAGTCAGGTGAAAACAGTCTGTCTCCACTGTGGAAGGGTTTTCATACTGTCGAGGAAACTGAACGATCATACACACCCCAGTGAGATGAAGCCATTTAGACTGCGGTCGGAGAACTGTTCACTCATGTAGTGAGAAATACTGTTACAAGTAAACGTCCTGTACTTCAGACACATCAGAGCCACTTCAGTAAAAGTACAAAAGTATCAGCATGAAGATAAACTTACAGTAACTAAAGTAAAAGAACTCACTGTGCAGAATAATTTATATTACTAATTATAATTATTGATGCATTACTGCGTAAAGGTGGAATTTATTGTATTGTGAATTTCCCTCTGTAGGATCAATGAAGTCTTACCTTAACCTCTAATTATACATATAATTTATTTGTTATGGAAGCTGAGAGAGGCCATACTGAAATAATCTTTTATCCAGTTGTCTCAAGATATTGAGATAATTATCTATCTCGAGACAACAAAGCTTGTTTTTTTCATTCTAATGACTTTGTTAATCACAGATCAGATGCAGATGGAAACTTCTAGAGCTGTAAAGTGAAAATGTCAGGACGACACATCAATCAACGCATCAGAGAATATTTCAGTCAAGGGCAGAAATCACACTGTGTTTTCATACAAGATCATTTTCAGTTCAGACTTCGTCAGCTAATGAGTTACTAAGGACTGTTGTTAAGGAGGAGAGTTACTGCGACTTAGTGTTTGAGGCTCAGTCAAAATAGTTTTCTCCTAATGATATCTCGTTATGTCGGGGTAACGAGCTTTGTTGAGATAACAGGATAAAAAAATACTGGCGAGTACGGCCTTTCTCTGCTTCTGTAACTTGTTGATTATATTTTGAATTTTTCATCTGAATCTGCAAAGTAAAGCTGTAAAATAAATGTAGTGCAGTGAAAAGTATAAATATTTCCCTCTGAAATGTAGAGCAAATGAAGAAAATGGAATAAAAAATGACAGTACAGTACGTAGTCGTATTGTACTTACTTCCCCAAAAACCTGACAACAGCAACAGTGTCCAATCAAGACATCTGACCAAACTCCTTCAGATAGAAACATTTGAATGTATTTTTAAAGCATCTGAAACAGAAAAAAGAAAACAGCAAACAGCGAAATCAAGTGACACATTTCTTTTTGGCTCCTCTGTGAAAAATCTCACAGTTCAGCGAACACCAAACATGAACAACTTCAACGCCCTGCAGCTCTGCAGTCAGGTTACAATCAGCCAAACGTCGGTATATAAAGATAGACACACACACACACACACACACACACACACACACACACACACACACACAGTATAAGGCATAGCACAAAATATTGGCATTCATAAGTCAAATGTTTTTGGATTGAAACTGCAGCAGTAAAAATTGAAGTGTCTTTACGCTGCGACGAGCGCGGTGCTAAAACACTGACTCACCCAGCTCAGGTCAGGTGTCAACATTAATAACTGCATGCATACGATTCACACATGCACAATATGTTCATAAAACAAAGGCAGACAGGTTTTATCTTTCAGTGATATGAAAGGAAGAGGATTAAATAGCTCTGAGCTAACATACAGCTAACATCAGCAAGTAGTTTGACATTTTGGGGAACATTTTGTAAAATGAACTTATTCTCATACTTTCCCAGGAGAGGAGGCGATTAGCTTAGCTTAGCATGAAGACCGGAAGCAGGGTGACACAGCTAGCCTGGCCTCCAGCATGTACCTGCCTGTAAAACCTCCAACTGCTGCTTTAATGTTTCTATTTGTGGTCAAACCAAACGAGAACGAGAACGACTTCTTTTGGTGCTGGAAGGTGGAGTTTTTAACTTTGGACAGAGCCATGCTAGCTGTTTCCTTAGTCTTTATGCTAAGCTAAGCTAATCCTGCTTCTCTCTGCTCTTGCTCTGCACTCAAGTCGGCAGAGTGGAAGCAAGAGCGGGAAGAAATCGACCATTTCTAACACATAATTACAAACAACCAAGTGGTCAGAAGCGTTAACGTCGGCCTCAAACCTGTGACTCAGAGTCAGACATGGTGACTCAACAGACTGTTAGCACAGCTGCTGCTGAGGTACCAAAATAAAATCCAACATTAACTCTGACATGATCCACTCAGCTGTTCACTGTTTGTTTGGATCTGGTTTCACCTGGTGACAAACTGCTACAAACTCACAGAAGAAGAAGAAGAAGAAGAAGAAGCTCATTTATCCTGTTTATCTGCTGGGACTCAGATTAGCATCAACGCTAGCACGTGGAATAAAGTGTCCACACCCCCCAGTCAGAATAACAGCGTTTCTTCCTGTTCCTGACACTGTGTGGAAGCAGCACTGACCCCATTTTAACAGCCTCAATGAGCTGTTCATGCTGTGTTATGTGTTTGGAGCCGTTCGTTAACAAGTGAAACCAGATAGAAACTAAATTTAGTCTCTTTGAAATCAGCTGAATGGGTTGTAGAAGCCATAACGCTGGATTTGGATGCACGTAACTGCCTGTGACGGTGGCCTTGAAATGTCAGGTGAAATTAAATTCATTAGATTTGAAATCAATGCACAGACATGAGACTGATATCGACTAAATCACAGCAAGAAACCCCATAAATACTTTTCCGAAAAATGTCAAACTATTCCTTTAAATTCAGGAAACAAAGCAAATTTTACCAAGAAAACAAACAAAACAAAGTGAAACCTCTGCCGGTCTCCCAGTATCTTACATTTAGTTCAGCCTTGAATACAGACATCTTAATAATAATTCTAAAATACTACTTAAGTGCTAAAAGCAACAGCTGAACATCATCATGCACTTTTTAAAACTTATCTGAAATATTTCAAGCCAGAGCTTTGGTTAAGACTGAAGTTACCGTGCGAGAGAAAACATCCAAACACAAAGCAGCTGCATCGGTTAAAAAAACAGATTTCAAATATATCATCTGCTGCAGTAAACATCTAAACAAATATGGCCGATGACGTTATGGCATAGCAGGATAGCACCTTTTTCCACTCGGTTCTTGCATTCGATCGTTATGGCACAATCATCAAATTCAAGAGAAAAATACTCTCCTTAAAAACAGGCTGAAAAGCATTCACAATATATACAGTGTGTACAATATATACAGTGTGAAGCAGGGCTGTTTGCATTTCTAATAGAAATATAAAGCCTTTATACATCCTTACACTCTAGCTTTTCATTTCTGCTGTCAGGCACTACATGACTGAATATCCCACTGGCGAATAAGCTAAAGCAGAGAGCGGCTCAATAGCACAGACATTTAGTTTGACACTAACTGATTGTTCCTGATGTAGAATTGACTGTGATTCTGGCAACAAGCGCTTGATTATAATATACAACAAGTGTAGGGGCCACTCCGCAGCCCTCGGTTTGACAGCTCTCACCAGTCAGTCCCAGTTCAGCCTCATGTCCAGCTGAACGTGGACGGATTATGAGACGGTGGGACAAAGACAGGTGAAAGAAACACGAGCACAAACAACGCTGTGTCGTTTGTGGTTGTTTTCTGTGTCTTTTGTGTCTCTTAAGTTGTTTTGTGTAAGTTTTCTTTTTTGCAGGTGAAGCCCAGAGGCCTCCTGAGCCTTTGGGCCCCTGGAGCTGTGTCTACTGGACCTGTTCTGCAATTCATCCATCCATCTGAACGGGGATTTTTCCCCAAGCTTTGCTCAGTGGTGTAGAGCAGTGGTTCCCAAACTTTGTTCGTACTTTTGTTCAAGTTTGTACGAGTCAGAGAAACGGGTTTATAGACAAAGACACTAGGAATGGTTTCAGCCATTAAAAACTGGGAGCGCAGTCAGACCATCACGGTAAGCTCAGGTGACTACGACAGGTGAATCACTAGGCTACAGATCAGAATCACACACAGTTGTAATTTCCCTCCTAAACACAGATGTGAGGATAAACACTACCAGTTAAAAGTTTTACAACATTTACATTTTTCCAGGTTTTATTTAAATTATTGAAACTTCAGTGAAAATCGACAGATGAGCAGTAAACTGCCCAAGGTAAAAAAGAAAAGGGATGAAGTGGACAGAAGGTAGGAGCAAACTTGTGTAACAGTGTTGGGACGAACTCTGAACATAGCTTTGTTAGTGTGTTCAGCTCTATAATAATGTATAATAATGTATGTTGTGATTTGGCACCTATACGAATAAAATAAAACTGAATTGATTCCATCAAGGTAATTGGTTATTTGTTTTCTGCTTTGATTTCAGGAACACAGAGACATTGAATTATGTAAATTTAAATAACAGCTGGAAAAATGTAGTTGTTCTAAAACTTTTGACCAGTGGCGTATACTCTGTGTTATTCAATCATAATACCCACTCCTCCAGGTACAGGTACCCCTGGTTGAGACTTATTGGTGTTGAGGAGCGATGCTGCCTCACGTCATTAGTATTAACGTAGTGAGCTGTGGTACTACAGTGCTACACCACTGGGTATGGCTGTTACATGTCGGGGTAAAACTCTGTGTTGACATCAACGCTGTGCAAAACTGACTTCTGGTCAGCAGCTGACATCCTGTTCAACACCTCAGCGGACAGAGAGTAACTGCTACCAGACTTCTCCTCAAACCAGCTGTCCAAAGCTCGCTTCCCATCGAAGTTAGTGATGGGCGGTCCGTTCACGGCCACGGTCAGCAGGTCGTTCATCTGCTCCAGGGTCAGCCGGGAACGATTGTTCTTGCACATCTTCTGTAGAGACCCTCTGCCTTTATCGCAGCAGGCCGTGGAGCTGGGCAGGACCCTGACGACCTGCACGATGCGGTTCAGCAGAGGAAAACGCTGCTTGTACCTGCAGATGTGACTGATGACCTCTTTGAAACCGTTCATGCTGTAGTAGTCAGCTTTCAGGTCTTTCCATTCCACCACCAGGCAGCCTCTGGCCTCCGTCCTGGCCTGAGAGCTCTCCTGACCCGCAGAAGGAACGGACTCCAGATGGTTGAATATCAGCTGGATTTCCTCTTCCCCGTAGGCTTGAAGGTCCTCCCGGTTGTGAGGCCAGGTGGACAGGTCCAGGACCTTGCAGGCTTTGGCAAACGAGCGACTTTGCAGGTCCAGCCTCTGGGACAGGATGCCTTGGCTCCTGTTGCAGATCTTTTCTCGGATGGACTGAAACTTGGACTCGGCAACCCGCAGATTCTTCAGAGCAACGCCGTTGAAACTTTCGCGGAAATTTTCCTCAAACTCCTGCAGATACTCTCCAGGGCAGTTCACCAACTGGCCTATCTCCTGAATGGCCTCCTCAATCTTGGCTTCCACCTGTGACACCAGCAGGTACTCCCCCTGGAAGGTGAAGGCTAATCGTGAGAGGACAGCTATAATATCCAGGAGGAAGTAGATGAGCTTTACTGACTGATAGTCCATGAGGAACTGGAGGAGCGTGAGAGCGATGGCAGCAGCGTCAGCTCTCTGTGTCTGGCTGCTGATCTCCTTCAGATGGGCAACCACCTCCAGGTAATCTTTGATGAGGGCATTAAGGACGTTTGGTTCTCCTATGATCCATCGAATGGCTCTGATGTCTCCGAGGAACTCCGTCTCCTCTGACAGAGTCGGGGCAGTTGATCGGAGCTCGGCCATCATGCGAGGAGAGTAGCGGTAGAAACTGAGGAGCTGCTTGAGGTTGTTCTCCAGGTCCTCCAGGCAGGAGAGCTCCTTCCCACTGATGGCATCCAGCACCTCCAGATGAGGCCGATGGATCATGATGGGAAGGCAGAGGATCCACGGAAATGTTTTTTGCACAGCTATGTACATGTTAGCTCTCATTCCTGAAGAGATGTTAGTGCCGTCCACGCCAAGACCAACCACCAGCAAGTCCTGAAACCTGAGGCCCAGGACGCCAAAGGCTCGGTCCATAGCCTGGAGATATCCATCCACACTGACCATGCTCAGTCTCTGCAGGGAGAGGAACTCTGTGTTAGGTGAACCCTCATTGGTAATGAACTGGACATAGACTGCCACCATGTCTGAGAACAGGTCGTCATTTTGGGCGTCCATGATGATGCTTAGAAAGGGAGACAGGCGCATCTTCTCGGCCAGGTCTTCTTTCAAAGCCCGGGAGATGTGGTGAATGAGGATCTGACAGTCTCCTTCGTTCATGTACTGATCCACCACTTTGAGCTCACATTTCTTCAGCAGCTCTGCGAGTGGACGGAGGTCAGAGAAGGGCCGTCCCTCCAGTGCCAGGTGGTACGCTGCATTGAACAGCAGCATCATGTTCTTGCACATCTCCTCGGTCTTCTCTGGATGCATGCGCAGCTTATACAGCTGCAAACACTTCTTGTGGAGATTGCTCTGGCTGTGGAGCTTGATGGTGTGGATTTTGAACTGCTTGGAGCCGATGATGAAGGCAGAGGTTCGGGACGACTGGACGGTGTACTGGCGGCAGACGTGGCACCACATCTCGTTCAGGGTCGGCGAGTAGCGAAGGAACCAGAACTTTTTCAGCCACTCCTGCTTGAAGCGACGAATCCGTCGGCCTCCTCCAGAGGAGAGCTTTGAGGAGTCCTCCGGAGAAATCACAAGATCTGCAGCAATCGACTCGTCAGCCGAGTCCACGTCCTGGTCGTCTTCATCCAGGACCACCTGAGTGGGCGTCAAAGGCTCCATCCCTGCAAAGACAAATGCAATCACCTTCTGCCACCAGCTCACAGTCATCTTTGTTTATCTTAAATCTAATTTCAAATTAAAAATCTAAAAACCAAGTGATTGCATATATTCACATCATGCAATGATTACAATCTTTGGTCCTTACTCTGTGGATAGCGACCACTTTGACTCAGACTGAAATATCTCAATGAATGTTGGATTAATGGTCATAAACTTTTGTACAGACATTGATGGTCCCCAGAGGATGAATCCAACTGCCTCTGGTGATCCTCTTTTCTTGACTTTTACTCTTGTGTCACCATGAGGTTGATATTTTTGGCTTTATTCCCCCTCTCTCTGCCTCCCCATTTCCTGTCTCTCTACTGTCCTGTCCATTAAAGGCACAAAAAGCCCAAAAAATTCTTTAAAAAAAAACTATTTGATGGATTGCCAACAACTTTGGTACAAAAAAACAAAAACGGTTCTATTACTAAAGAGAACACAATGTTGATTAAAAAAATTAAGTTAAGACCCTAACAAAGACAAAGAGCTACAGCTGTTGGTCTGATGAACTTGAACATTGGGTCCAAACATTATTTTTCAAAATCTACCTTGAAAATCTTCGATGGGTCCTTGCTCAGGGTGCGGTGGGACCTGATCGTGTTGGGACAGGGTTTGCTCAGACATCGATGGACCGACCACGTTCCCCTGTTCTCTTCTGAGACGGGACAGCTCCTCCTCCAGCTCCAGGATCCTCCTCTTTAGTTTGACACAGTTGGGGCAGAAGGAGGTGGAGGGTTCCTGTTTCTCCTCCTCTTTCTCTTCCACCTTCAGGTTAGGAACGTTGAAGCTGCACTCAGATGAGTTCAACCCCGACCTGAGCACTGGTACTTTGCACTCACTGGGGAGGGAAGACTGGAACCTGGACTTGCTGGAGTCCTCTAGAGAAGCCTCTAGGACGTCTCTGAAGATGAGGTCGATCTTCTTCCTCTTGGCAGGAGGCTGACCATCAGACTCTTCATTGGGTTGTTTACTGGGGCAGAGTTTGCCCTGCAGAGCCGACTGCAGGCAGGGAGACTTAAAGTCCTTCTGAGTGTTGGGCAGGACTGCTGACTTCCCAGTGTCTGGAACATAACAGTTTTCTTAGTTATATAAAGGTACAACTCGAAGAAGACAAATGGACACCACACTGAGCGCATGTCTGCAGTGGTCACCTGGTCTGGACAGGCCGTCGGAAGCACCGGGAAAACTCCCAGTGGGAGGATACAGTGGATTCAGAAAGTATGAATTGATACTGATAAAAGTTTGTCGCTTTTTCATCATTTTACACATTTTTGGACCAAATTTCTGGTTTAATACGTCTTTCTAACTTTGAGTGGCATCAAAACCAGAATCAGATTCCACCCAGTCAAGTTTGATTTGAATGTCCAGCGCTGACGACACAGATCTGAGTGAGACAACAGCACCATCTGCTGGAGAACTGAGATCAGGCCTCACAGTCTCAAAATACAGCTGCAGTTGAGCTTCACTTGAATTTATATTTTTTACTGTATAACACTGATGTCATAGGAAACATCCTCTGAATATCAAAGTAGCAAGTGGCAGCGAAAATAACACCAACAGCCCAAGAAAAATGGGTTTTATCTTTCATCTTACTAACTACATCACAATGACAAACACAGCTGAGGTAAATCATATTAGCTTGAGTACCTTCAGCAGGATACATGACCTGTGACAAAGGTCAAATAGGTCAAAAACCAGGTATCTACAGGTATTTTGGCTTTTGTCCTTTGTTCTTACAAACACGTCGTGAACTTCTCCAAACTGAAATTTATGGCAAAGGTTTCCATTCAAAAACCACTTCCTGCCAAAGCAGCCATGGTTACATCTCAGTACAGACTACCTGTCAGCTCACCTGTGTCCAGGTTGCGGTCGATGCTCTCCTGGGAAACACAGTGGAGTCGTTGGATGTAGTCGTCGCTGTACCAAACCCTCAGCTTCTCTCCTGCCTCCAGCCTCCGACAGACTCTGAAGTAGATGTTCTTACCGCGTTGAAACGCTGTCAGGTTCCTGTCACTGTCCTCCGACGAGGTCCGGACGAACCTGCGGGTCAGAAACATCCACAGGAACTTAGAGGAAGGATTAATACGTTAGAGAACAGGCTTGAAACAACAGTCAGGGGTCCATATTTCTTTATATTCAGTGAAACTTGAGACCAAACTTTGTAAAACTTCACAGGTAAATATTTTTCCTTGCGACTGAGAAAATGTCCGTCATGAACATTAACCATTCGGCACAATCAGACCAGCAAGTGTCCAAAGATCTGTCTAACTCATGTTTGATGTTGTTGTGATACTAGATGTGTGCAGTGATCGATTAAACCCCGTGTACTATAGTTCATTATGCTTTATCACAAACGACAGATACTATACTCATCATTGTTCTCCGTGGGTTGGACCTCACCACAGTCGAGAAGAAACAGACACTTCATGTTATTCATTTATAGAGATCAACTGTTAACGCTTCAAGCGACCTCACATCTCCTCTCTCATTTAAATCCATGATCCAGTAACTACTTAACCCTCGACATCCCTCAGGTTCGCACTAATGTTGGCAGAACTGGTTTCAGGTACTGAACTGCAAACAGCCCTCAGACTAGACGCTTACAATTCCTGTGGAGATTTTAAACCTTTATTATTTTATTTATTTATTTGATGAATTTTATGACCATTGCTAATGTTTTTATTAATTCTTTGTTTGTTAGTTTCCTGTGTTGTGTAGTTGTGTTGTCTTTGTTGTTGATTGTCTCTTGTGTCTGCTTCTTGTTCTCAGGTCTCTCTTGGAAACAGATTTTAATTTCAATGACACTGCCTAATTAAATAAAGATTAAATAAAAAAATAATAATAGTAAATGTAGAACGGTGCTTAAACTGTGACTTGCACTTTGTCCCGATAAGATTTTAACATCTAGTGTGAATTATTTTTTTATACTAATCCACCAAATCAGTGCATTATCAACATAGGTGAAACTACAGGAGCTTGTTTCTTGTATCAGTGCGATGGTTCAGTGTATTTGATGGTGGGTGGAGACAAAGACAGAAACAAACCTCATCCAGTTGGCTTTGGTCTCATCACTGCCGTCGATGGACTGATACGCGTTGTTCAAATCTACAATCTGGAACAATCACAACAGAAGAAACAGACTTGTATAAGTGTGGTTGTGAACCAGTCCTGGAGCTGGTCAAGACTGGTTCTGAACCGGTCTCTGACTGGTTCTGAACTGGTCTCTGACTGGTTCGACTCACTATCCAGGAGAAGAAGCCGGAGGATTTGTCTTTGGACACCAGCTCTCCCTCGTATGGACCGAACACTGCCCCCCTCGGGATGGTTGCATCCACGCAGCGGACATCCACCTCGTCCCCCACAGTGAAGACCTCCAGGCCTGACGGGACTGTGAGCGCCGCCCTGTTGGCTGACCCCGGGGCCGCGGGCGTGTCGGGGACAAACAGAGGGGGCCCGTGGGACGGACACTCCTCCTGGAAGTAGTCCTGACACTCCTCACAGACTGGAGGACAAACGTCAGATCTTTAATAATAATAATAATAATAATAATAATAATTTTTGATGGATCATGCATCAGCTGATTTACAGGTAGAGGAAAAACACCACAGGGACCAGGACTCAGTTTTTACTCCCCTGAACATCGACTGTCCAGTGTTGGTGTTGCCAGGGTAACCAAAGCAGCCCCACACCCCACAGGTTGTTTGGTATCTCTTATAAACAGTTTGTATATTCATAATGAGCTCGAAACCTGAACAAAGATTATAATACCCAGACTGAACCACTGATGTTCACCATCTTTACTTTAGCCTGTTAGCATGTTGTTGCGTACAGCCGAGGCTCATGGGAAAGTCAGTTCTGCGGGTATCTGGTCATGAACCAAAGAGTCGAGCAGGTTAAACTGTGACCTGATGGTGGCGCTAGATGAAAAGTCAGAGTTATTAGCATTGACCAGTAAAATGACTCTGACTCTTCAGTCTGGCTCGCTGATTGTTCACTGAGAGGAAACTAAACAAACTTACACCAGAGGTCCGACGGCTGCTCGCTCATGGTGGAACCATGTCTGCGGGAATCCAGCGTTTCGTCCACTTCACAAGCCTCTGTGGAGAAAACTCAACATGTTACTGACAAGCAGTAGCTACTGACCTTCATCACAGTGTTGGTTGTTAGTTTGTTAAATTGGGATAAATTAATAAAGTAGTTCATTCTTTTTCTGTCCATAAACTGATCGATTGAATTGTAATATCACTACTTTTGTTTAAAAATGTCTGAAAATAGTGACATATGTGCATCATAATTTCCTAATGACCAGAGGTTCAGTTATTATTATTATTTGAAAAAAATCATTTTAACAATTCCTTTCTTTAATGTCTATTAAAATATGAAAAGAAGGAAATTATTTATTTCTTTTACTGTGACATCACTGGTCCTCCATATAGGTTGATGTTCAGTGTTGAGCTGCTTTAAGTCTGATATGAATGTTGTTTGCACTGATCCAGTATCAGTTTCTCTTTAATGTAAATACAACCTTATTTTGTATTGTTTTGTCCTGCGGCCTGTCCCCGGTTGGAGTTCTCCCTGGAAATGTCCACATTTTAAATGTTTGTAATTAAAAACAGACGTTTAGCATTGTGCTTGTTTTGGCCAACAGAGGGGGCTAGCTGCTAGCTATAGCAGCCTCAGAATTGAAGCTAAATTCATCAAAATAAAATCATCCAATCACATTTTTCTTTTTTCTGTTGTCTTTGGGCAGAGAAAAGGTTAGCTGGCTCACTCATTGGTTAGGAGTTCATAACCAGGCAGTGAACTAACAAAAACAAACAAACTTCATGGCTGCTTCAAAGGTGGGGAGTCGTCATTTTATCAGTCGGTCTTCACAATACTTTATTACAAAACAACAGTTACAAAATACACAACTGTCCCCCTTTTTATTATATAGGTAAAAACATTATATTAATGATAATTTAATGATGTATTGACGATCGAACTGGAAATGTCTCCGGTCTTCATTTCAGAAATCTGGTCACCTTAACACACACCTTCAGAGGAAGTTAACTAGTAGTTGTACCGCACATTAACTATTAACTAATAGCCTAGTTATACCTCACAGCTGCTCCTCATGTCAACATGCTCTCTCCTGACCTCAGTGTGTGTGTGTGTGTGTGTGTGTGTGTGTGTGTGTGTGTGTGTGTGTGTGTGTGTGTGTGAGCCCAGCCCATTGATTCTGGATGTTTTCAGGTCCCAGACAGAGACTGTGAACCCGCCTGCACCATCCTCCTCCTCAGCCAGGAGGAGGAGGAGGAGGAGGAAGGGGGGGGGGGCAGTGGGACCAGAAAACACTTCACTAACACGGAGAAACTAAAGTTGCCTGTAACTTTGAGTCCGTGTCGCCGATTAATCCGGTAAATGACCGGATTAGAGGAGCGGCAGCAGCTGGTTCAGATCTGCGCCACGCTTTCTCTGCTCGGTTTCGATCTGCAGGCAACTGGCAATCTGCCTGCAGTTTTCGGAAGCCATTTTCACTGGCCACAGTGGCTACTGACACAGACCCACCTTGTGCACAGACGCGGCGGGGACACGGACCCTTTCCCCCCGGGTGAAGCGCCGCTCTCTCCCCCGCCCCCGGCCGCCGACCACCGACCCCCGGCCGCCGGCTCCGCGGCTGCAAAGTTTCCCGTTAATTTTTGCAACGACTCAGTCGCCTCCCCGAGCTGTGACCACCATTTTTTATCACAGGAAATGACATGGAGAACGGAAGAAAGCAAATGCGCAAAAATTAAAGTTAACAGTAAGAATTTGAGTCTGGGCAGAGAGGACGGAGACACCGGTCCGGTCCGGTCAGACGGGGTCCGGTCAGAGAGGACAGTCAGACGGTTTCACCTCAGAAACGTTTCTGAAATGTTTTTGTCTTTAGGAGCTTAAAGTCACAGAGAACACGGTGGTTTACTGTTTCTGTGGTGAAGAAACTCAACACTATAAAACTATAAAACACTACAATATAAAATATTACACTATTAAATTATAAAACACCACAATATAAAATATTACGATATAAAAGACTACAATATAAAATATTACACTATTAAACTATAAAACACTACAATATAAAATATTATAGTATAAAACACTCCAATATACAATATTATGGTATAAAACACTCCAATATAAAATATTACAATAGAAAAGACTACAATAGAAAATATTACAATAGAAAAGACTACAATATAAAATATTACAATAGAAAACACTACAATATAAAATATTATAGTATAAAACACTCCAATATAAAATATTACAATATAAAACACTACAATAGAAAATATTACAATAGAAAACACTACAATATAAAATATTACAATAGAAAACACTACAATATAAAATATTACAGTATAAAACACTACAATATAAAATATTACAATATAAAACACTACAATATTAAATATTACAATATGAAATATTACAGTATACAACACTACAATATTAAATATTACAATATAAAACACTAAAATATAAAATATTACAGTATAAAACACTACAATATAAAATATTACAATATAAAACACTACAATATTAAATATTAAAATATGAAATATTACAGTATACAACACTACAATATTAAATATTACAATATAAAACACTAAAATATAAAATATTACAGTATAAAACACTACAATATAAAATATTACAATATAAAACACTACAATATTAAATATTACAATATAAAACACTAAAATATAAAATATTACAGTATAATGTATAATAATAAAGTGAAAAACTGGTGGAAAGTAGCTCAGTAAATCCACTCAGGTTCCCTCGGTACCTTTGAGCTGAAGCTCATTAAATGACTTTTAATGAACTTATTTTATAAAAGTGCAGAAACAATATTTCTCCCTTAAATGTAGAGTACAAGTTTGAAATGTACATCAAATGAAATGTCGTTCTTTGTACTGCACTACTTTATATAATAACTTCATTATAATGTTTTTTGTCTGTCATGCATGATACCAGGTAATCACACACATTGTTAGGACAGATTCAATAAAAGATTTATAAAATGATGACATCATTTTTCTGTCCACATTAAAAACATTTCCCTTCCTCATGGAGTCCAGTCGTTTCTGTCTCGTCACAGATCACCTCACAATTACATGAAACTTCAGCTCATTGTGGACGATGTTGTTTATACTGAGATGGTGAGAGAGATGTCTCTATGTAAATACTGTATATATTGTATATGTATATATTGTATTGTATTTCTTCCCTGTGGTATGACTACTTCTACCTAAGTAAAGCATCAGAGTACTTCCTCCACCACTGGTAGAAACACTACAAGTCCTTTTTCACTATGAACAAATGAAGGCTCAATATCTCATTATGTAGAATTATTCATTTAACGTGTTTAAAATAATGATGCCACATCTTTTAATACTGTAGCTGGTGTAAATTAACTCTATACTGTGAAATAACTTGTGATATCTGTACTTACATTATGATTGTGAAGACACAGATTTGATGTCAATGTGTTATAAGGTGATAATTGGATTATAGATCTGACAATAATGATTATTGAATGATTGTTTTTATGATGAATAAATTCTATGTGGTGCTGCTCTGTGCCTCGTGGTGATTATTGAACCAAGTAATTCTGTGAATGTACTGTAGGAGTTCCCTCTTTGTTTTCATTATGTTCTTGTAAAGAAAGTATTTGTGTTCAAATTTAGGAGAGTTTTTAATTGTGAGCCACTGGTTGTCAGTAGTACCAGTGAATAACCAGCAGATGTCAGTAACATGCAGAGATGATGGAGATATGAAGCAGGGACAGCCACAGAGGAGACTGTATGTAAAGATAAAGATAATAAGGTTATATCTCACATTCATATATAAAGATGTAAACAACAATCTCTTTGATGTAGATATCTCTATATACAGTCCAGGGTGTGCAAAGTACAATTTACTGTTATTATATTCATAGTATATAGTTTTCATGCCTCAGCCAGAGCGGCAGCCATTTTGTTTTCAGGTTGTGCGTCCGTCTCATTCTCGTAGACACGATATCTCAGTAACGCTTTAAGGGAACTTCTTCAAATTTGGTAAAAACATTCACTAGGACTCAAGGAGGAAAGGAAACAAACAACCTGAGGGTCACAGTTCAAACCTGAAGAGGGTGGTCCTGGCTCTGTTATAGAGGTCTGTAATCTGGACTTGTCCGATGACTGTACCAAGTAACAACACATTAAAACTGATTCAATAAAACTTCTATAAAAAAGAGAGCCATCACCTCAGAGGAGACGTTGTTAGACTTTTTCTGTTGTGGAAGCAACACGAGGTTCAAAACAGGAAGAGCAAGTATTTCTACCTGTCCGCCGGCTCAGTGTCAGCTCCTTGATCCTGGTCAGTGCAGGACAAGCTGGAATCTTCCTGACAACAGTACGCACCATGACGTGACGCACCGACAGGTAACGCAACATAAAGCAAATAAAATGCAATGTAACATAATGAACTCAACATAACATAATGTTTTGCAACACAAAGTAATGCAATGTGTCACTTTTAAACTACATTGTGTCATAATGCCGAGTAGCATCAGGTGATGTGACACTGCAACATAATGTATAACATACAACAACCTGATACATTAAACATATCATAATGTAATTCATCATAGCATACCACACTGGAACGTAACATTATGTAACATTTAGTAAATAGTTAAAGTTAATGTTAATCTAATTGTATTTAATCATTTTATTTGAATTTTACTTTGTATTTCCAGAATAAAATAAAAGTCTTTGTCTTTGAGATGAAGTTTGTTTGTGTTCATGTTTTCTTCTTCTTCTCAGTGATGAACTGAACATGGAGAGTTCAGAGTTGTAGTTTTTATTGGATAAACTACAAACTACGTTGATCCAAGTTATAATGATCCTTTAAAGCGCCGTCTCCATGACGACCCCTGGTGGTTAGGGGGGGGGGGTCTCTGCAGTACCCATCAGAAGACAGAAGATGGTAGCAGAGCATCCAGAATAACCAGGCAGCTGAGTTTCCCTCCTCCCTCCAGCGTCGACCTTTCCTCTGCTCAACAGGCTGATCTCCAGTCTGCAGCTCTGACTGGAGGCTGCTGGTGGCTTTTCTCTCCTCTGCAGGTATGATCAACCTCCTTGTTTTCTTTCTCACCTCTGTGGTGGTGGTTGGAGGCGGGGGGCGGAGGAGCACCTGTCCCGCCCTGTGCAGGTGTGAAGGTGTTGGGATGCTGCAGAGTGTGGACTGTGTGGATGCTGATCTGAGATCTGTTCCCTCCGACCTGAGCAGCTCCACCTCGTCCCTGTGAGTACAGACGACTCTCTCTCCTCCAGCACGTTCATGTTTCTGAGGATCCAATCATGGAGTTGATTCTCTTCATTTCATTTTCCTTTGTTGAAACAGGTAAAAAAGTCTTTGGTGTTTTACTTTTTCTCTCTCACATGTAAATTTTGATTTAATAAAAACTTGAAGAGAAGATTTCACCACAGGGACAGTAAAGTATAATCATGCTGACTAAATTAAAACATATTTACATATCTGGAAATATACAAAATTTTGGGCAAAATTTTCATTTCATTTTCAACATCATGTATAAACAGGAATTAATTTGCTGTATCAAAATTACACTTTCAATGAGTAAAATCAACATTTAGACGAGAAACTTTGCTTCAGTCTCACTTGTTGGATTTAATCATTTACAGATTTATGAACAAGTTTGAAAAGCGCTTCTTGTTTTTTTTTCATAATTTATTTAAATGATTTGAAGATGAAATATTTAAACGATTTCTGTGTTTCACCCGGGACAAGTCTTTGAAACAATCGCTCTGTGTTTTATGAGCAAATGATCTTTTTATATTTCATTTTATTTTATTTTTTAGGTGTAGATGTAACAAGTGTCTGATTTACAGTCACTTTGTGTTTTTAATGTAAATGTCAGAGTTTTTATTCAGTGTTTAAAGTGGAGAGTAAACACACACAGAGGTTTGGCGCCTGAGTCGCAGTGAATATTAGAGATGTGTGTGTGAATGTGTTTTGTGTCAAACAGAGAAACGTGATCCACAGTTTAAACCACATTAACTGTGTTTTAAAAACTCAGTAGATAAAGTAAAACAACTGTAAAATGTTTTAGAATATTTTTATTAAGGTATAAAAAATGAAAAAAAAATCCAGCCATTGAAAAACACCATGTGCAGGTATTTCTAAGGCCGTAATTGTGATTATAAACAATAAAAACAACAGATATCTTTGTCACATTTGTATTATATTTATGTTTCATATTATTTCACATTTTATAGTAAATATTTTATTGTAAAATCTTTATATTAATATTTTGACCCTCTGACCTGTAGTATCTGCTTTCTTTATATTTTTTCTTCTATGTGAAAACCTACAACAAACCTGATCCTGATTCATATTAAGCAGCTCAATATGTGAAACATGTAATTTGAGCTTTTTATCAAACTAAAGTTTAAAGTAGATTTCAATAGAATCTCAGTGGATTTTAGGATCGAACAAAGATTGGAATTCAGAATACATGAACAGGGACTTTTACTGGAAAGTGACTGATGGTTTTAAGGCAGAACAGGGG